GACTTGTATTTTCTTGTCCAAATTCCTTCGGATAGTTTAAGACTGACTTTTAAAACATTTTTTCTAGCATAATATGTTCTAGTCAAAATATTTGTCTGATATGCTTACATCATTTTGTATTTCCCAATCACTTATCAAGATTTTCACCTTCATCAACAGGTGTGAGGGTTTCAACATCCTAGTCCAGCTAGGACGAAGTTACATCTGTTTAATTAAGAGTGTTTTTTATGGAGGCGAAACAATGTAAAGTAGTGACTCTTAGCACTATGGGAGGAAGGCCCATGTCAGAATCATTTCAGAGGATTTAAAAAATCTCCATGCCCTCCATCCCTGCCCCAAACACAGAGTGCCTGCATCATTAAAGGTTTGATGCTTTGCTCAAGGGATGCTTGAACATGTCAGTTAAATATAACCCTCACTGAAAACCATTTTTACCAATGGAATCTGATATCACTCAACCCTACTAAGGCTGGAGGACTGGAGGAAGCCACTGAAGTAAAAGAATGAGCAGAAGTTTTGTGGTCACACATATCTAGTTTTAGATCCTGGTTCTTAGTAGGAGAGTTAAGAACGAGAAATTGTCATGGCTGTATAACAAACCTCTTAGTGTAGGGCAAAACTATTATTCCTCCTTGATCATCAGTTTTCATAGTAGCAAGATTTGGTAAAATAATACATGACTCATAAAGTAGTTGTAAAAATTGAATGAGAAGGTTGTCGTAAAGTGGAACCTGGCACATTAATAGGCGTTCCTCAAACAATACTTCTCCTTTGGTCTGGATCTCAAATGGGCATAGAAATTATGTCTGCTACTCTTCCCAAATTAACACAAACAAACTCAAAAAATTAAAAGGTAAATTTATCGCCAGGTGACAATACACATCATAGGAAAAAAGTTTCACTGAGTAATTTTCGGGAGGGGGGGATGTAAAAGTCAACATTTTTAAGGCATAAGAAGGAAAGGGAGAAGCATTCATGGAGGTAATGGTAATGAATGATTAGTTAATCACTGAAAACTAGCTCAAAGTATAGGACAAAGGAGTCTGTCGGTCTTTACACGGTTGGTTAACGCGTCTCATTCCTTGGTATGAATAAATTCTTCAGTTGTGTTCAGTAGGAACTGGACTTAGAAGTTTATTAAGATCATGGTTCTTTCAGCGCTTGATGTGAAATACAGTATTTAGAAAGTAATGGTATAAACTGAAAGTTCTCATTTTGTACCTCTCCTCTATCCACACAGGAATCGCCTTAGTGACGTGGAAGAAAGTGGTCATCCAACTTCTAGACAGTCAGCACACACACACAAGTCCAGCTGTCCTGGATCAGTGCCAATGATCAATAACAAAGAGAATAAACTACAATCAGCCACAGTTGAATATTAGTTGAACTAGAACTTGATGTATGAAAGAGAAGTAGTTATATCTTAAACTGAGAATGTGTTTTAATTGGATGTATTAAATCTCCTTCAGAACTTTTTATTTTTAAATAATTTTAGCTAGAAAGCATTGCTTTCTCTAACTTACCAACCCATTATCCTTTCCAAAACATGTGTAACCTTTGCCATAAACCTTTATAATTTGTATATTATCCTGCTCATATTTATCTTGCTTCATAAAATATTTCAAAACCTTCTATAGAAATTCCTAAAGCTCCTCTACCTGGGGAGTGTTGCTTAAACAGATGTTCCCCCATAGATATGAGCAATTTAAAATCAGAAACATGTTTTTACCTTTCATTCCTAGTACCTGATACCATGCCAACCAAATAGAAAGCAGCTACACTTATATTGGCACTTAGCATATGATTCGAAAGGGTGTGGAGAGACTACAACCTGTTCAGAAGAACAAGTGCAGAAATAAAAAAGAAAGCTGATCATGGGCAAGTGTGTTCATTGATTATGTTTGGGACCAGTTAGATTTTCTTCCCAGGATTTCTATGTGAACTGTGGGAGTATAAGGTTATCACAGGAGGCTATCTGTGAAGAAAATAATCAAATCACATCATTTGCTGATTCTCATTAATATTTTGAGTGTGTTTTATTTTATTTGGACACTTCATAGACTTGATCTGTCAAGATGGACAGTAGACAGGCTTGATGTTTTGTCAGGTAATTGTGATGTTAGTTATACTTTCAGTCAGAGGCCCCAAATACCAAAATCCTCTCAGCTTTCTTAAATGATTTATTATGCCCCCAAAATAAATCTGTCTCCCAGATAAAATTGAGAATGGAAAGAAGCTGATGTCAGAATCTTCTCAGTACAGAGTTAGAGAGAAAAGACAGATTGTCAGAGTCAGGGGCTACAAGGGTGTTTTGGTGGTGAGATACCCAAGGTAAAGAAAGACCTCGAAGCCCACATCAGGAGGGATCAACAAACAGTAGCAGCATCTTTATTCCCAGCAGCAGCAGCTTCATTCAATACTTCTAACAGTTTTTATAGACTCCTGAAAGGGGATGATCAACACGGGGTGATGCGTGGCGCCTGCGTCCTGCGCTTTTGCTGTGTCATGCTTATGTAAGGAAGCAGGGTCTGTGCCTGTGCAGCCAGTTCTGGGTCATGTCCCAAACCAGGGCCTCTCTCAACAACAGGCCACTTTCCCAGGACCCAACACAGATACAGAGAGGTAAAGAGAAATAAAAGTCCTGAGAGTTCGTGAAATTGTTCAAATACAATTAAACAGACATCATGCAACATAACTAGCTCCTGTGTATTTCCACTACTCATTCGTTTGCAGAGTGTTAAGAATAAACACCTCAGAGCCGGAGGATGCAGGCCTAAATGAAAGCTTGAAAATATGTATTAATGTCACCTTGGAAAAGAAAGCCTCTCGTAATATTAGTACTTACATTTCACTGTTGATATGAGACTACATGATATAATATATTTAAAGTGGTATGAGGATTAAGTCATGCAGTACTTTAAACTTGACATAATATTTACTGGCTCCTCAAGAAAGTTCTTATGGAGTGTGTGCAAATGAACCCTTGGGTCACTTACTCCAAACTTCCTATGTTTTATGATGCTACCTTTTCAAAAGATCGTTTCCAGGTCTTATGGATTTGAACTACTTCTGTCTTGAAATGACACATTAATTTCTATCAGATCCATTGGCTACAACTAGTCCCATAACCTTACTTAACTGCTAGAGAAGGTATCTAAAAATTATGAGGGCTCAAGGACATTCAGGGAACAGTAACTGTCTTCAACACTGCTACTTGGTTTTGTAAGACCTTGACAAATTACTTCATCTTAATTTCAGTTGCTTGTCTGTGATCTGAGACTAATTGATGAACTATGTCAAGGGAGGTTTCAGTGTGCACTCATGGAAGACGTTAGTGGCTTCACACCATACTACAGAATCAGCTTGTACAACTTTCTGAACTATCTGTGGTCTGTTTCTTTCTCTCTCACATGACAATAACACTATTGAGGATTAAATAAAATTTAATTGTTTTAGTGTACTGATTGGAGTCTAGAGTAAGTGTTTAAAAACTATTAGCTGTCTCCATGATTGCTGTATAATTTTAACATAATTAGTATTACTTACTGATGTTTATCATTATAGCAAGACAATAAAATGTTATAATGATATAAAATTTGTGTGAGCACATTCCTCTGACTTTGTAAAATCTCTCAGTACATAAATATACTTGTTTTCCTTCTCCAAAAAATTTGTAATTTCAAGCATATACCTAGGTTTCTTTTATTTTCCTATGACCTGTAGGAGAAAAAAACAGGAGGGGGGGGGGGGAGAAAAGTCCAAAATAGCGGCAGGGTGAATGGAAGCGGCACAGACCATCTCCCAGGACCAAACTAGAATTACAACTAAAATAAGGACAAACCGTCAGGAAAAACCAACAGAAAAGCAGCTGGAGAGCACCCCATAACCTACAGCTTGGTAGGAACAGTGGAGGCACAAGAGGGTGGGCTGGGAGCCCATGGACAGCAGCTGTTTTAGCTGTGAGCAGCTCATTCAGACTTAAAATCCCAAGCTGTCAGCTAAAGAAAATTGTGAAACAATATGAATGTAACAACATCTGCATCATAAGAGTCCTAAAAGAAGAAGAAAAAAATGAGCAAGGGTTAGAGAATATATTTGAAGAAATAGTGACAGAAAACTTTCCTAACTTATATGCATGTATGTGTAACCAATGGACACAGACAAGAATGCTTGGTGTTGGGGTGGGGCATGGGATAGAAGGAGGGTGTCTGAGGGGAAAAAGGAGAAACATCTGTAACAAAAATAAATTAATTATTGTTTTTAAAAGAAAGAAAAAAATCTTACTTTTATTACCAAAATAAGACCTACTTATTATAAAAAGAAAACAAACTTGGAAAATAAAGGTATTCAGGGAAAAAAATCACCTATTAATTCCCATCATTCAAAGAGAAATAACTGTAACACTTTGGTGTATATTCTTTTAATTACTTTTTTATCCATATCATATATATATATACACACATACACAGATTGGTGTGTGTGTGTGTGTGTGTATAACCTCCTTTGTGAAATAACATTTTTTTTTGTAAATATCTTTTCATGGGGAACATTTAAATAAAATGTTTAATGATTATTTAGTTATATTTGTACTATCAAGGTTTTGAAGGGCTTTAAAATAAACTTTCATTTGGGAATAATTTTAGATTTAGAGAAAAGTTGCAAAGATAGCACAGATTTCCTGTACATTTTTCACCTGGTTTTCCTTAATATTGACACCTGACATAACCTTTGAACTATTTTCAGAAATAATAAATTCACCTTGATATAAAAAAGAAGAAAATAGTTCAAGTATTCTGCATGTAGTAATAATTAAGCAATACAATGTTCCTTTGACTGCCAGCAGCTTGGGCATGACGATACTTGTCAACAGTGTTGTAAGATCACAGAGATCTTCCCTCTTCTATTGCTTATTGGTCAACAGCCAATGAAACGGCACGCTGAGCAGTGGAGCTGGGTTCAGGAAGTTGGATTACACTTTATGGCACAATTGAAATTGGGCATGAAGCTTCTGTCTGTGAATATTTCAAAGTGCTGGCAAGTGGAGCAGGGAGAAACAACATGGGAAGTAAGATTATTTCGCTTCTCGTGGTGGGGGTCCTCACAGCATATTATGTTTATACCCCTCTCCCAGACAACATTGAGGAGCCATGGAAAGTCACGGGGCTGTTCATGGCAGCAAACACTATAAATGCGTTGGTAAGTACAGAATTTGATTGACTCAGTATTTAACAGTTTAATCAGGAGAACATGTCTGTTTATTTTTAACAATTTCTACTGTCTTGGAAGTTTTGTTCTTTGAGTTTGTTGATTTTTAAATCTTTTTAATATTTTAACTATTCCTTAGTGCCACCACTAACAGAATGAATATGGAGGAGGAAGTCAAGTAGTTTTAATTTTAAATACAATAGGACAAAATATACTGGCTGAGAACAGAAAGTCTTCTTGTGAGTTTCATAGCATGAACTACAGAAACGATAGGACTGAGCAATACTGTGATTAGTGACAGAATTCTATGCAGTAATCTTGTATTCAGACATGAAAATGAATTCTTACTGATATATTTGGAAACAGGCCACTGGTAAAGGCCAGGGAAATGTGTGATGTCCAATAGACAGATGAACTGCTGTGGTGACCTGGCAACTGCCTGGTTGGCTGACCACTAGGTCACCATGTCTGGCCCTGGGAGACCTATGGTTCTTTTCAAGTGAGGCTAATTACTTAGAAATGAAACCATTCATTATCTTCCTTAATCTCTGTAGCAAATCACATGTGCTGGGGGTGGAGGGGTGGGGGGAGTAATTCAATGACAATTAGCCTGAGTAATAAAACACTTGGCTTTTACTTATTTTTAAGATGTTTAATACTCTCTATTGGCATTTAACTTAGCTCCGAATCAGTGCAATATATATCTTGTTAGCATTTTCTTATTAGTGATTTGATTATTTTTAGTAATTTCAATACACATATGTTGTTGGATTTGGGTTTCACTGGAATGTAGCTTCAAGTCTTATTTTCTTAAGTTATTCTTAAATCATGTTTAAATTATAAATTTGGTGCATCGTTTTGATTTCTTTTATTATGTGGATTAGTTATGTGTATATATATTTATATGTACAGTTATACATGCACAGACATATTTATCAGTCTTCTAAACAATGTCATTTTATCTTAAGTACTTCTTTTCATTTTTCTTCCCTTTTATTTGTTTTTGTCATTTCTGTTATATACAATACCTTGAGTTTCTTTTAATTGCGTATTTATTTCTGAAATTATTTTGTCTTTTTTTTCTTATTTCTTTTCTGTGCTCTACCAGAACCAGCTTTTATCCTTTCATATTATTGACTACTGATCACTTCCTTTTATCTACTTCTATCTTTCTTGAATACATAGATTTCTGCTTTGTGATATTTCTTCTTATGTTGTTTTAAAATTTTTATTTTATAATATTGTGTAATATACTGTATCCACTTTGCAGTGACTTTTTCTAATGTGTTTTCTTAATGTACTGGAGACTTATTTTTTTTTATACTACACAGTACCTTCATTAACGTTATATATACAATTATTGTGTTATTTCTATTTGAATGAGACAACTTTTTTAAATTAATTAATTTATTTTTGTTACAGATGTTTCTCCTTTTCCCCCCACTGATTCCTTCTCCCCCTCCCTCCCCGCCCTGTCCCCAGTTTGTTGTCCATGTCCACTGTTCACGCATACATGCATATAAGTTCTGTGGTTTATCTCTCCCCCACCACCCCCTCTCCTGGGGATTGTCTATCTGTACCCCACTTCCACGTCTGAATGAGACAACTTTTTTGGACAAATTTTTAACGATATCCCGGGGAATAGAGGTGGGACCAGGACATTTTGTGTTTCAGTTTTTGTGCTGAAGAACTCTTATCAGATAGATAGATAGATAGATAGATAGATAGATAGATAGATAGATAATAGATAGACAGACATATCTTTGCAACTTCTCACCTTTAAAATTTTCTCCATCCCCCCTGAATCCCCTGTTTCATCACCGGCTGTTGTTGGCAAGGAATACAGCCCTGCTTTCCCAGTGTTATCCTCCACTTTCAATTTCTGAAATCAGTGGCCTCTGGAACTTGCTGGCTGACTTCTGAGTTTCTTTAGCTACTTCTCTCAGTAATCAGGCCTCTTAATGTCTCCTGCTCCTGGATCCTATGATCATCACAAGCTTCCTTCACTCTTGGAATAAATGGTCATTGTCCTTCCGCAGGATTTCCCTCCTTCAGAGCCCTCCACTGTCCTTTTCCTGCCTTTCGCGTTGCCCCAGCAACAGGCTTCTGTGCAAGTCCGCTGGTTGCGCTTGCTTTGATCCAATACTGCACGGAATTTGCAGTTTAAGGGTTTCCTGTGACTCTTAGTTCTTGGAAGAAATAGTTTATCTTTTTGACTATTTAATTGATTTTTTTGTTTATTTATTTTTCTCTTTCCTCCTTTCCTCCCTCCCTCTTTCTGTCCCTCCCTCCCTCCTCCCTTCCTCCCTTTCCTTCCTTCCTCCCTTCCTCCCTTCCTTCCTTCCTTCCTTCCTTCCTTCCTCCCTTCCTCCCTTCCTCCCTTCCTCCCTTCCTCCCTTCCTCCCTTCCTCCCTTCCTCCCTTCCTCCCTTCCTCCCTTCCTTCCTTCCTTCCTTCCTTCCCTGTGTGCTCTCCTATAGAAGAAAAATGTAGATTTACCTGAAAGCACTCATTCTCATTTTTTTTAAAAGTCCTCACCAGAAGATATTTTTCCATTTATCTTCAGATGGAGTGGGAAGGAGGGAGAGAGAGAGACATCGATGTGAGAGGGACACATCAAGTGGCTGCCTCCCACATGACCCCGACCAGAGCTAGGGACCAAACTGGAACTGAGGTACATGCCCTTGACAGGAATCAACCCCAAGACTCTTTGGTCTGAGGGCCGATGCTCTAACCACTGAACCAAACCAGCCATGTCCTCATTCCCATTTTTTTAAGAAAATAATATTTTTTTTGCTAAGGACAACAGACTACCATATCATATGTCATCTTTTCAAAACCTTTAAAAGTGTATCATCCCATTGATGAAGTAGATGAATTTTTTTCTAATTATTTTCCCCTCCACTCAGCTAGAGAAAAAAAAACAAAAACCTTCACAACTTCTTGCTTGAATTAAAGCTCTTTCGTACTACTTCATTCTTTACCAATCAACTTGAGCATAAAAATAAAGAATGATAATTCAAACTTTTAATAATTCAGTGATGAAGATAAAGAGAAGGCATTGAATAGAATCACTGTCCACTAGTCTGCCATACAGACAATCTCCAAAGGTCAGAATTTCAAAGACAGGTAACTGCAGTGCCCACTCTGATAGATTGCTCAGCCGTATCCTGAAGGACTCTGAGGTTGCATATGGGCTTGGGAAGATAACACTAGCAGACCTACCCTGGGTTCAAGATCACATGCACTTGTGAAAAGTGTTTTCCACCCTGAACCAGATTGTACAGGTTTTCCTTACGTGCATTGGGACAGCTTGAAGCTTCCAGGTTTGAGATTATTTTTTAAAAATATTGCTTTTATCACCTTTTTGTACATTTTTGTGTTGAATTTATTGGGGTGACATTGGTTAATAAAATTATATAGGTTTTAGGTATATAATTCTATAATATATCATTTGTACACGGTATTGTGTGTTCACCACCCCAAGCCAAGTCTCCTTCCGTCACCATCTACCCCCTTGGCCGTCTTCTACCTCCCTCCACCCCTGTCCCTCTGGCAATCACCGTATTGTAGTCTGTCCATAAACCATTTTTTTTTTCTTTGCTTAAGATCTTCACCCTTCTGACACAGCCCTCAGCCCCCACCCCTCTGACAATGTCAGTCTTTCTCTGTATCCATGAGTCTCCACTTTGTTCTACATATTTGCCATTCATTCTTCCAGCCCTACTTAGATCTTTATGCTGCTCTGGCCTTCTCAACAATACACTGGTTAGCCTGCGAAAGGTGAACATTTTGAAGTCCAATGATCATTTCAGTTTCCAAATTCCCAAATAACCACACTTAATATGCAAAACTCTAATTTGGGTGAAGTCACTGGCATAGGCAGTTTCTCAACTTTGAATCATTTGATATCTCAAGAATTCTTTAAATATCTTTAAAAAAAAAAATCTGGGGCATCTATTATGGCAAAGATTCTGAATCTCTAATATTTCTGTGTCATTCAGATTCCCCTGTGGCAATACACAGGACCACTGGGAGCATTTTTGCATGCTTCTATGTTCCTACACAACATTGGCATTTGCTGTTTGTCACCTGGCATAGTGTTTTTTTTTCTCTCTATCCTTTTAGGCTCACTTTGGTGAACTACTGGGAATCAGCCATTACTTGAAGACTCTAAATTTCTTCGTGAGCTTGCTAGATGTCCCAGCCAGATCAGACGAAAATGTCACTGTGACGGAGACAACTTTCAACAATGTTCCTGTCCGTGTTTATATACCGAATCGAAAGTCAGAGGCACTAAGAAGGGCCATATTTTATATTCATGGTGGTGGTTATTGTTTAGGGAGTTTTGGTATGTGCCCCTTGTGGCAATTTTTATATATTCTACAGCATATATTTTATTAAGATATTTACTCAGACATATCAGGTAAATATTATCGCAGCTAACAAAATTCTCCAGCTATCTAAAATTTATTTCTTTGCAACAATGTTAATTTAAAAAATTATTTCAAATTTCTGTCTGAAAGGAAGTAATCAATATTAAAAGCTATACCAAATCTCAGGTAAGAAGAGAAACTGTTTCATGCACATAGAACATTATTATTAAACTTGTTAATTGCCAAAATTATGGAATGTTGTAATGAAAACAAAAATTGAATTTAATAGTGAATGAGAAAAGAGGAAATAAATTTAGATATGAAAGACACGGTTTTAGGTAGAAAAGAAGCACAGAGTTGACTAAATAGACTTTATTTTTATTTAATATAAAATGTATGTACAACCCTGAGTGGTGTGGCTCCATATTTATATCTAGAAGGTCTATGAACACATTTATAAGCAGACGGTAAAGATGGCAGTAAATGGAAGTATGTTGAAAAAATGTGGGAGGGGCACTGGAGTGTGGGAGGAAGTTTGCCTGATGTGTGGGATGTGGGAGGGAATTGGATTCCATACAGAGTGGAAGTATTGACTCCAATCATGAGGAGGAACATAACTTCCTGTGTTATGTTTTCTTCCTTCCTTTTCAGGAGAAAAAGAGGATTGATGAGTTTTGGTGTAGATTGGAAATGTAAATTGGAGCAGTAGAGAGTGGGATCCTAATATTTTCTATAACTTCAGACAGTAAAATCATCACCTGGCAACGAAGCGATGTTTTTAGGACTAAATATGAAAAATAAAATTTTTAAAAATCTGACTATGCCATGCTTCAGTTAGTTTCCATGAGTTTCTGCTGCCCAAAGCAGTTTATTAAAAATCTTTCCATCTGTGCTCACCAAGATAAAGAAGTAAAGAATAGGCTCATAAATAAAATAGTATTTGCTTTCTCTTTCAATATTAAAGAAAAATACAAAAATCTGTGTTTCAATCCAAAATATAAACATTATTTTCAATAGTAAATATTAGAAGTTTTAAACGTAGTTGTATTTTATTTAAGAATGTTCAGCACCCAACTTTGGAAACATCACAAGAGACTATGTACTCCTCTTTTTATGACCTTCTGCAACAACTTCATATCCTGATATTTTCCTATTATGATCTCACCCTCCTCTGGTTACTGTCAAATTCTATTTTTCTCCTCAAAATTTTTTTATGGGTACTTTCCCAACCACAATAGCAAACATGTGCCATCTCCACCCCATACGCATGGACAAAAACACCCCAACTAACACAAATCTTCTTGTCTGCCTAGGAAATATAGATGCATAAATCAGGTCTCAGCTGTTCCCTATTTCCTTCCTGCTCTTCCTTAACTTCCTCTGGCAGTTCTAATAAAGTCTAATACTATTCCATAGAGCACTCTCTCCACACTTCCATTAAAGCAACTGGTATGTTGCATTATTGCTCTTAGTTTATACACCTGCTCCTCCCTAGTCCTGTCTCCAGTAGACTGTGACTTCCTGAAAATCAGGGAGGTATATTTATGTTTATTCTTTCAACAACTAACCCCTGCTGATGGAAGAGAGCACAGATTAATCTTGAGGAGAATGAAGTTAGCTTAAATTATACAGTGTGAAATGTGGGGAGGGACAAGCAAACTGACAACGCACATGTGAAAGGAACACTAAGTAAAAGAATTCATGTTCTATAGCTATGAGGACATATAAGAAGTATCTTTCCAGAACATTTTAATGAAGAACAAAGTGTCCTAGTAGGCTTTTTGCTGAAAAACAAACAAACAAAAAACACATCAAAGTATTTTTCAGTGTCTGATGTTATTTTCTTTTCTTTCAGCTAATTTGAATTATGACACGCTGTCAAGACAAACAGTTAATAGACTTGATGCCGTCGTCATTTCAACCAAGTAAGAGCCCTGTTAGTGTGTTTGTGTTTGAGCCAGGTGCCTTACATAGTAAGATGTTTTCAGCCATCCTGGTCATTCCTTGGTTATGCCAGATGTGTTTCAAATGAACATGAGAAGGTGAGAATAGAAAAAGTGAGCTTGGCCCTGGCCAGTTTGGCTCAGCGGTTAGAGCGTCGGCCTGCGGTCCTGAGAGACCCGGGTTCGGTTCCCGCTAAGGGCATGTACCTTGGTTGCAGTTTGTCCCCGGCCCTGGTTGGTCGTGCGGGTGGCAGCCACTCGATGTGTCTCTTTCACATCGATGTTTCCCTCTCTCTCTCTTCCTCTCTCTCCCTCCCACTCTGTCTGTACAAAAAATGGAAAAATGTCCTCGGGTGAGGATAAAAAAAAATAAATAAATAAATAAAAGAAAAAGTGAGCTTGGGCATGACCAGAAAGAGACACAGAGAGAAGACTTGCATAGTTGGGTCAAGTGAGAATCAAAAACAGGAAGTCAAGAAATTGTTAGAATAAAATTAAAGTTTTAAACTTTGCTGACAACTTGCCTTTGCTGGATTTCTACCCTACTTGTAATTAGCAGTGTGAATAAGGAGGACGGCTGCAGAGTGAGTGACTCAGCTTCAAAATGTGCACAGAGAGTTACCTGAGTGACTTTGTGACAGTCGAATCTCATTTTAGCTCCATTTTCTCATATGTAAACTGGGCGTCATATAATATTTTCTATATCATAGAGCTGTTTTGAGAATTAGGTGATAAAATACATTTAAAGCAATTAGTATAGTATATTTCATGGTATAATTCTTCATTAAAAGGAATTAATAACTAGATAATGTGGGAATACTGGCAAAATCTATTCTAAAAAGCATTCTAGATCAATAATCAGTAATAGAAAATAAAAAACATAGTCATGATTGCATGCCAACTTGATCATTAGATTAAATTGGATTAGAATGATTTCTAAGATTTTTTTTTTTTTTACATTTATTGGTTAGTAATAAAGTGTAATGGTTCCAAAGAAAATAACATTTGGGAGACATTTACTTAGTTATCATCTGGGATTTGTTTTTGTTTTTGTTTTTCTTAAATCTAATCCAAGTTTTGCATTCAAGCCTTTATTAGTGTGAAAATGACATTTCTGAAAGTTTTCATATTAAGCATTATCATTAGGATAAAGTCTGTCTTTGAATTAATTATGATTCCAAATATGTTTGTTAAAGAAAAATTTTACTTTTGATTTTAGGGTTAGAGCATGCACACAAACATGTATGCACACACACAACACACACACACACATTTTTATTAAAAATATTGACTTAAATAACATTGATTTTCTGCCCTCAGCTACAGACTTTCACCTCAATACCACTTTCCAAGTCAATTTGAAGATATATATAATTCATTAAAGTGGTTCCTACGCCCAGATGTTCTTAAAAAATATGGTGTTGATCCTGAAAGAATTGGTGTTTCTGGAGATAGTGCTGGAGGAAACTCAGCTGCAGCAATATCTCAACAGGTATGTTGCTGAGATTTGTTTCAATTCAAAGATAGCCTACACTAAACATATTTCAAACATTAAAATAGTCAAGCAAATATATTATATTAATATATTAGAAATACATAGAGATCATATTAGAGAACATCAGTATACATCATAGTGCTTCTATTCCAACTTTCTGCTAGATTTTTAAAAATAAAATAATAAAATTCCCTCTCTAGATCATTGGTTTCAACTTAATAGATATGGTCAGGTAAGTACCATAGTGTTTGTTACATTAGGGGATGTATTTGTGAAATCAATCAATGACACTAATTCACATAACTAGAGAATCAGATGATTGCAGTATTCTTTAGTGGAATATGCCAACTTCCATGAAAATTGTTATCAGAATAATACAATTACCAACTGACAAAAATGTTAGCAGGTTCATAAATACTATTTACTTGCAGAAGGAACTATACTTTTCAGATATTAATTATTACACTATTTCTATGATGTTTAGCTAAAATTGGACACCTATTAACTATAAATTTAATGTGGTAATAATTCATTATAATTAATCTAATAGATTATGAGTTAAATTGCTTTTGATACTGGTTTATCTAACCAAAGAAATAAACTCAGTACTAATGGCTTAGAAGCAATGTTCTTGTAGGGTGAAAAAATTCTAATATATTTGCAAAACATGTCTACAATTTAATTCTAGTCATAAATATTGCACATAAATTTATTGTGCAATAAAACAAACCTTGCACTTATTTTTATTATATATTTTATACACATTTTAAAGTATATAAATTTTGACTATTAGTATTTTTAGAATAACCTTTTTATTATTACCAGCCAAAGTAAAGATAAAACTTATAGGATTTGTTCTAAGTATACTACAGAAAAGATATTTGTTACTCCTCAGAAATTGAGTTCTACATTGCTACTCATTGTCTCTCTGAGAGGCACCCTGATGCAGTGCAAAGAATACATCAGAGACATGGATTTTGGAAGCTAAAGTAATGTCCAGCTGTGGCCTGAGACAAGCTGCCTAACCATTTCAAGCATCAATTTCTATTGAGTGTGTTGCATAATAAACCCTTTGTCATATGTAGTTCAGGTGCCTATCACAGTGCACAATTCATTCTAGCCCATAATTATTAAAAATCAGGATAAAATACCTTATAACATTCTGGAACGTATCAAAAAGTGCAGAAGATGGAAATTTCTAAGTCAAATGTTTTTTAAAAGATGAAGAAAAAAAACCATAAAATAACTCCAGCACTCAATATCTCTTTAACCTAAAGGGTTATGGCAAACAGAAGGAAACTGTTCAAACAAGATGAGCTTTGGAACCCTTTCAGAAGCAGAGTCAAGGTCAAATATGTGGGTGCTCATCAACCACTCCTCACTGTAAGTGAGGCCTTAAGAGAGATGATCTCAGGGTCAGGGTGAACCTGTTGTAAAACAAACCTCATGTGCATATTGGGAAGGAAGACAATTAACCAATCACACTCAGAAAACTAAAAGATTATTATTATGAATAAAATATTAGAAAAATATATGTCATATATATACACCTTAAGCAAGTTACTAGTAATGCAAGGAAAAGTACAATTTATTTATTTATTTGTCCCCATTTTATTATTATTATTATTATATTTTATATTTGTTACAGATGTTTCTCCTTTTTTACCCCATTGACACCCTCCTCCCCATCCCCCTGGTCCCATCTCCGGCTTTGTTGTCCATGTCCATTGGTTATGCATACATGCATGTAAGTTCTGTGGTTTATCTCTTCCAACCCCCCACCCCCCCTCTTCTGAGAGTTGTCAGTCTGTACCCTACAATTTATTTTTAAGTGAATTTTACATTAATAGATTAAATAAGCAAAATCATATATCATTGATGCAGAAAAGCATTTAGGAAAACTCACAATAATAGTTATTGCTTAACTAGAATAGATGGAACTTATATAATCAACTAAACTACATTGATTAAGAACAAGTAAAAGGGGTTTAATTTTTTAAAAACACAGTAATCAATTCCATAGTGAAGAACAGTGGTCATGGGGAAGCAAGAAGGGTGTGCCATCAGGTCAGGTCATATGGAGAACTTCCTGATTCTTCAACACATTTATTATATTTTATATTTGTGTCTTATAACATCATGTACTTGATTTTATGTGTATTATACTTAACTCTATAGTTTTTAAAAAATATATTTTCAAGATTTCTGGTCAAGACGGCGGAGTAGATAAACACTGGTACTCCCATCCTCTCACAATCACATCAGAATCGGAACTACACTACCGAACAACCAGCCCTGAGAACCACCCGCAGTCTAGCTGAACAGAACTCCTCTCATTAAGAATATAAAGAAGCAGCCACATCAAGGCTGGTAGGAGGAAGAGGGATGCAGAAAGGGCCAGCCCCACACCCACCTGTGGTGATTAAAAATCAGGAGGGATATTTCAGTTTCTGAGGAGGAATGGCCCCAGCACCACAGCAGGTGCACCAGTATCAGGAAGGCAAGTCCCCATAACCTGCGGATGTAAAAGCAGCAGGGACTGGGGCTGAGAAGACTGGCTGAGCAAGAGGCTGCTGGAGACCAAGGGCAGTTCTCTCAAAGGGCCCACACATACACTTACTCATTGATGAACTCACTCACTCTGAGCTTCAGTTCTGGGGCAGCGGCTGGAAAAGTGCCAAGAACATACAAGGAGGAACTGAATTGTTTGGTTTAAGGAGAGAGCCTCAGGGGCAGCTTTCTCCCCAAGGGAAATGCTGAGAGAAGCCATTGTACGTTTGCTGACCCCTTCCCTCATCCAGCCGCAGTCACAGGTGAGCACCAACTTGGTCAGCCTGGGTAACACAGTTTGCCATTCCCTGGTGACACCCTGAGACCCCACCTCACCCAACTTTTGAGCACAACCAGGATACTTCCAGTGGCTTTTCCATACAAACAGCGTGTCTTGGCTCATGCTGCAGACTTTTCTCAAATCTAGCAAAGATTCACAAACCCCAATAAGCAGTGTTGGGCCTCACTAGTCCTCATACCTCTTGCTAAGTGACCTCAAGTTCAACCTTAGCAGCAGTTTAACCTCTACTAGGTACCTCCAATCTTAGCACAAGCAGTAACCATCTGAAGATCACTTTGTAGCTCATAACAGGTGGCCCTGGTCACGGCACAGGCAGTGATTGACATTGGTTTGCATGAGAGCTCCTGAGACCCTAGAACCAATACAGCAGGCAGCCAGCTTCATACCATACCAGATACCATCTAACCACCTCCGCTAATGACACAAAGAGGAGACTCAGCAGGCGTTACAGCCCTGCTAAAGTGAATCTTGGTTCATGGGGTCAGCCCTTGCACAATAGCTCCTCTGTTATAGTCATACCCAGTCTTCATAGTCAATCAGCTTAAGAGCCAATTCCTGCCAATGATGTGCCAACAGCAATCAGGGCTCAACTACAATAGAAGGGCACATACAATCCACCCAAGGGGCACTCCTGGAACACCTGGCTCAGGTGACCTGGAGACTGTGCCACTGGGTGTCACAAGATACTTACTACCCATGTCCATTATACCAAGGTGACATAGCAGCTCTACTGAATGCATATCGCAAACACAAGGAGGCAGATAAAATGAGGAGACAAAGACATATGTCCCAAATGAAAGAACAAAACTCTAGAAAAAGAATTAAGCATAGTGAAGACAATCTACCGGATGCAAAGTTCAAAACACTGATTATAGGGATGTTCAATAAACTTAGGGGAAGAGTAGATGAAGTCAATTAGAACTTTAACAAATATATAGGAAACATAAAAATTGGAGATAGAAAACAAAAAGGAACCAGTCTGAAGTGAAGAATGCAAGAACTGAAATAAAGACTACAATACAGGGAATCAACATAGCATTAGATGAAGCAGGGGATCAAATCAGTGATTTGGAAGGCAAGGTGGCAGAAAACACCCAATTAGAACAGAAAAAAAATAAAAATAAAGAATTTAAAAAATGAGGATAGCTTCAGGGACCTCTGGGACAGCATCAAGTATACCAACATTGAAAACCTATTTGAAGAAACAGTTACAGAAAACGTCCCTAACTTGGTGTAGGAAATAGACAGACAGGTCCAGGAAGTGCAGAATCTCAAGTAAGAGGAATTCCAAGAGACCCACACCAAGACACATCATAATTAAGAGGGAAAAGATTAAAGATGGAGAGTATGTTAAAAGCAGCCAGAGAAATTCAGTATACCTACAAGTGAGCTCCAATAAGATTGTCAGCTTATTTCTCAACAGAAACTGTGCAGGGCTAGAGGGATTGTAGAACTATTCAAAATGATGAAAAGCAACAACCTACAACCAAGTTTACTCTACCAGCAAGGCTTCATTTAAAATTAAATGACAGATTAAAAACTACTCTGACAAGAAAAAGCTAAAGGAGTTCACCACCACCAAACCAGTATTATAAGAAATGTTAAGGGGACTTCTTTAAAAAGAAGAATAAAAAAAGATAAGAAAATAAGAATAACAAAATGGCAATAACTACATTAATGATTACTTTAAATGAAAATGGATTAAATGCTCTAATCAAAAGACACAGGGTGGCTGAATGGATAAGAAAACAAGACCCATATATATGCTGCCTACAGGAGACCCACTTCAGATTGAAAGACACACAAAGACTGAAAGTAAAGAGATGAAAAAAATGTTATTTCATGCAAATGGCATCAACGACGAAAAGCTGGGATAACAATACTTGTATCAGACAAAATAGACTTTAAAACAAGGCTGTAACAAAGAACAAGGAAGGACCCAACAATTCCAGCTCTGGTATTTATCTGAATAAACCCAAAACATTAATTAAAAAGACATATGCATGCCTATGTTCATTGCAGCATTGTTTACAATGGCCAAGATATGGAAGCAACCTAAGTGTCTATCGATGAATGAATGAATAAAGAAGAGATGGTACATGTGTACAATGGAATATTACTCACCCATATAAAAGAATGAAATCTTATGCTAAGTGAAATGGGTCAGACACAGAAAGACAATGCCATGTGATTTCACTTATATGTGAAATTTAAAAAACAAAATAAATTAGCAAACAAAACAGAAATTCATAGATATGGAGAACATTTTAATGGTTTCCAGATGGGAGGGAGCTCGGGGGATGAATGAAAATGGGAAAGGGATTAAGATGTGCAAATTGCCAGTTATAAAAACAGACACAGGATGTAAGGTACAGAATAGGGAATATAGTCAATAATATTTTAATAACTATGTATGGTGTCAGGTGTGTACTTGATTAATTGGGCTGATTACTTTATAAGTTATACAAATGTTTAATCACTATGTTGTACACCTGAAACTAATATAATATTGTTGTCAACTGTAAAATTATTACTTCAACAACTTGCTTTAAATAATTTGCAGCTCCTAGATGATCCAGATGTCAAGATCAAACTCAAGATACAGTCTTTAATTTATCCTAGCCTTCAGTTTCTTGATATGGATTTACCATCTACTCGGGAAAATGGACATTTCCCAGCTTTGACCAAATCACTTTTGGTCAGGTTTTGGAGCGAATACTTCACCACGGACAGATCACTTGAAAAAGCCATGTTCTTCAATCAACATGTACCAGTGGAATCAAGCTATCTCTTCAAATTTGTTAATTGGAGTTCTTTACTCCCAGAGAAGTTTAAGAAAGGGCACACTTATAACAGTCCAACTTATGGTACCTCTGAGCTATCTAAAAAGTATCCAGGGTTCCTAGATGTGAGGGCAGCCCCTCTGTTGGCTGAGGACAACAAGTTGCGTAGTTTACCCTTGACCTATGTCATCACCTGTCAACATGATGTTATAAGAGATGAGGGAGTCATGTATGTCACCCGACTTCGGAATGCTGGAGTTAGGGTGACCCATAACCACATTGAAGATGGATTCCATGGAATACTTTCTTTTTATGGATTGAAAATTACAGATAGATTAAAAAATCAGTATCTGAGTTGGTTAAGTGAAAATTTGTAATGAAAATCTCAACTGTGGTTTATAAAAATACGTAAGCCTCAAATAGAAAACAAATTAGAAGCAAAAGGTGGTGCTTATATTTCTTTTTATTACTTGTGACCTTTATAAGGTCCTCATGGCCACTGTAGGGTTTTCTGGTGATTGTTGGTTTCTGTTTTGTTTCTTTACTCCATGGATTCTTCTCTATTCTATATCCTAAGTGTTGTTTACTCACCTCTGTATCTTAGAAAATATCTACTGTATCATATATTCTTTTCTTGCTACTAAAACGCCTAAGAGATCCTTGGCATTAATTTTGGCATCCTAGTGCAGAAATAGGCTTGCTGGCTTTAAGAAGTGAATTTTATAGTAGTAGGTGGCAAATGTTGTAAACAGTTGGCACATGAGTCTTATTTGTGCCTACACGGCTGCTGCAGTGCTTTAAATACATCCCAGTAAAAGCTTTGGCATTTCACAAGCCAGATGTGTTTGTTTAAACCCTTTTCTCAAAGTAATACTATTCGACAATAAAAAAAACTAAGGTGATAAATTAGAGCTATAAGAAATGAGTAACAGTTTATTTGGAAATAAAATGGATATCAAAAAGCTATTTGTTTTGAGAAAACAAGTTTCGAGGACTTATAGATTGCAAGACAATGTAAAGCTACTGTAATCAGGATAGTGTGACATTTCAATGAGGATAGGAAAGTAGATGATACAATGGAGACCAGAAGTCAGTTTAGAGTCAATTGCTGAAATAAAGTTGACAAAGTAATTCAATTCCAAAAGTATAATATATTTTTTAAATATTTAAATATTCATATAAAATATCCTTAACCCTGACCTATACTTACTTTACATCATTGACAAAAATTAACTCAAAATGAATCATTGATCTAAATATGAAAACCTAAATTTTAAAATCCCTAGAAAAAGTTTTATTTTTTTTTTTTTAGGTAGGACTACGTGTTACTTGAACTGTTGCATCAAGCTATCATTGCATTACAGTGTCAGGTGTGTGGACCATTTCCAGTATTATACAAAAAACCACAATCGCCCTGGCCAGTTTGGCTCAGCAGTTAGAGTGTCGGCCTGCGGTCCAGAGAGACCCGGGTTCAGTTCTCGCTAAGGGCATGTACCTTGGTCGCAGTTTGTCCCCGGCCCGGTGCGGGTGGCAACCACTCGATGTGTCCCTTTCACGTTGATGTTTCTCTCTCTCTCTCCCTCCCACTCTATCTGAACAAAAAACGAAAAAATGTTCTCGGGTGAGGGGAAAAAAAAACAAACACCACAATCTAGGTAGTGTCAATGAATTGATTTAGTACAAATGATATTTTTAAACACTGAAGTAGCTTTGAAATGTATATATTTGAATATTTCATGAAGAAAGCAGGAGCTATGTGATACTTTTGTAAATCTCAGTTGGAAATTACATCGAAATAGTTAATGACTTTATTTACAATTCAGTCATTTTTTTAGTTTGAAAAAATAACTTGGACACATTTTAACACCTAAAATAAATGCATACTACTGATGCAGTCTCTAACAATGTATAAGCTAGTGCAATTCTTGAGACAGCTACAAAAAAAAGAGACTGGAAGAAAGTGTATTGAAAACTACAATAAGTAGCAATTGGAATTTTCTGTAGCAGAGAAAAACCAGAGGCTACTTGTCTATTGGATAAAATAAATTATAAAAATAACAATGTGGATAATACAGATATACATATTAGCAAATGCATAATTTTGATAACTTCCTTTTTAAGACTTAAAAAAAAAGATAATCAATACATTACCTAAAAACAGAATTAAATGTTCAAGAAAATTTTTCTAAATTATTTTTAATGCAATCTGAGCTTAAAACTTTGGCCAAATATAAATTAGTTTGAGCTCTTACACAAAAAGGAAAATCATTTTTAGATAGAGAGATGGTAAAACTAATATATATAATTTTTACATAATATATATTACTATATATATAGTTTTACATAATATATATTATTGTGTTTATGGGGTTTATGTTAGAAAAATTATGGAATAAATACTAAATTGTTTTAAAAAGTGAAATATTTTTAATTCAGACACTAAAAAATTATATGTAGAATACCAAATATCTGTAATAATACCAAAGATCAGTTAATTAAAAATTTAAAGAAGTACAAGCACTTTTGGTTTCAGATGAGTTGTATGATATGAAACTCTGCCCAATTAATAATTTCGGTTATCTTTTGTCTCAAAAAATTCTACAGGTAGATAGTCTACTTGTGACCAAAATTAATGAACTCATGGCATGAATATATATGAATATTTTACATCCATGAAAGAATAATTTTAACTAGTCATGAAAAAAATTATCATGACAAAAAGGGCTCCATTTATGTATGTTAGGTCAAGATTCAGACTTAGTGGAATTTTAAAACGGGACAAAGTTTCCATGCTGCTTCATTAACCTATGATACAGACTGAGGGGGGTTGGCTTACTTTCTGAAGACGACTGTGGAATGTACTATGGAGACTCCTTTTGAATTGTTCAGTGCATGCCTGAAAATGTTATGACTCATTGCCAATTTATGAATCTATTGAAATAAATAGAATGCAATGATTTTAATCATCTTGTGTTCTTGAAACAATACTTGTTGAGTCATTGAAGAGTTTTACAAAGATTCATTATACTGCTAACTTCATTTCGAGGTTTTCTTGAAACAAAAGGGATGTTTGCCAAATGTACAATATATATTTTACGGAGAACAGCAGTGTGGCTTATGTTTCTCATATGAATGAGCTAATTCTGAATCTCCAAGTAAAGAAAGGCTTCTTTGTGACCTAGCTAGATAGCTACAAATTTTTGTATTAAATTCACTCTTTTTATTATAAGAATCAGTGATAATGATTTTCACACATCTCTAACAGAAATCAATAGACAGAAGGTGTTAATATATAGTTAATAGCATTATATAAATTGGCTGCAAAAAGAACAAGAAATATTGGAGAACATGTAATAGATACTGATAAATTTAGAACTGTTTTTCTCTTTAGTCATTATTCTGTAATAATCTGCTCCTATCACTTTGTCCTGATTAAATAAAGAAAAGGCCAACTATGAAGCTTTCAGAGCAACCTGAGGAAGTACCAACTGGCCCGATGCACCTCTAAATGAATGTGTCCTCTAAGAGAATTTGTTAGTTTTTAGAACTCAGATAATAGAACGAATAGCAGGATAGATGTGTGCTGACCCCGTTCACCCAGTTCCCTTTCGCCTCAGCTCCCTCCCCCCTCCGTTCCCTCCTGCTTAGTGCTAACTGCCTCGGCTTCTGTACACGCAGCTTGCTTGCTCTGCTGAACTCTTGAGTGACCCCTGCCCTATATAAGCAACCCTCCCCGAGCTCGGGGCTGCAGTTCTCCTCTGTGTAGTTTGGCTGCAGTCCCTGCGCAGGTAATAAAGCTCCTAATATTCAAAATTACTCTGTGTCCGGAGAGAAAAAATGGCGGCGGAGTGAATGGAGATACACAGACCATCTCCCAGGACCAAACTGGGTTCACAACGAAAATAAAGGCAAATCGTCAGGAAGGGGCAACCGAAAGGCAGCCTGGAGGACCACACAACCAGGGACACCGACTCAATCCTGGTCGGCTTGCGAGGACACGAGAGGGGGCCGGAGCCCACGGTCTGCAGCAGCCTGGCCTGGGCAGGGACCAGCGGACTCAGCGGGAAGCTGCTGCCGCCTCGGGCGACCAGGGCTGGGTCCTTTGGCTTCGGCTGAGCCCTATGCCCTCGGTTGGTGCCACAGCCTCGGCCGCCCTTGGCTGGAAGCAGTGCCCTCGGGATAAAAGTCCCACGCGGCTCCATGACGCAGAGTCGAGACTGAGGCTAAATTGGCAGCAGCCACTCACCTTGGGCTCCGGCAGAGGGAAGGCAGACTGGACTGGAACTGTGTGGGGACACTCGGGATTTGGACGGTGCTCAGAGCTTTTGCTGAGTGCAGCCACGCAGGACTATGGTCATCTTACTCCTTCCCAGGGCCCTGGGGAGAGGCGGCAGCCCCTCCCTCAGAGATTCAACCCCACCTGGTGGCCATTGAAATGCTAATTGAGGCCCATTAACAACCAGCATATGCCCCACCCTTGGAAATCCTCTTACACAGAGCACCTGAGGAAGTTTTTCAGGCAACTCAGAAACCAAGGTTCTTCATTCAGGTGACCTCTACTAATAGCCTCCAGGCAAAAAAAAATACTAGAGGATAACTACCATTCCCTGGGCTAGCAACACTAACCAGGAAAGCTAAGACTTGACAGTGGTGTTTAAAGTGGGTCCTCCCTGCTTCATCCAAACCCAGGAGAGGGAGCCACAAACAGCAGAACACCAACACCCACAGGGAAAATTTGGCAGACTCCAAAGCCCACTGTGATAGCCAAAATGGTGAGAAACAGAAACAAAAGACAAATAAAAGAACAAGAGACCTCTACTGAAGATGAGATGAATGAGGTGCAGTTAAGCAAGTTAACAGAACTAGAATTTAGAGCCATGATTTGCGGATGCTCAACAGCATGTGTAAGGACATGAGCACCATGACTAAAGACATAGAAATATTGAAAATCAACCAGTTGGAAATTAAAAACCACCAAGAAGAAATGAAGAATGACATATCAGAAATGAAAAACACATTGGAAGGTCTAAAAAGCAGAGGAGAGGAAGCTGAGGACCGGATCAGTGAATTAGAAGACAGCGTAGAAAAAATCAACCAATCAGAAAACCAAAAAGAAAAAATGATTAAAAAACAGGAAGACAGCTTAAGAGAACTGTGGGACAACTGGAAATATAATAATATTCACATCATAGGAGTCCCCGAAGAAGAAGAAAATGAGCAAGTGTTAGAGAATATATTCTAAGAAATAGTGACAGAAAACTTCCCTAATTTGGTGAAGGAAGAAGGCATTCAAGTTCAAGAAGCACAGAGAGCCCCAAGTAAGAAGAACCCAAACAGGCCCACACCAAGACACATAGTAATCAAACTGCCAAAAATTAAAGACAAAGAGAGAATCCTAAAAGCAGCAACAGATAAACAACAGGTTACCTATAAAGTAAACCCCATAAGGCTCTCAGCTGACTTCTCACAAGAAACACTACAGGCCAGAAGAGAATGGCATGAAGTAATCAAAGTCATGAAAAACAAGGATTTGAATCCAAGACTACTCTACCCAGCAAGGCTATCATTCAAAATAGAAGGCCAAACAAAAAGCTACCCAGACAAAAAAAGGCTAAGGGAATACATTAGCACCAAGCAAGCACTGCAAGAAATGTTAAAAGGACTGCTGTAATTAGCAGAAGAAATGGGAAGAAAAATAGAACAAAACAAAAATGGCAATAAATAAGGACATATCAATAATCACCTTAAATGTAAATGGATTGAATGCTCCCATAAAAAGACACATAGTACTTGATTGGATAAGAAAGCATGACTCATCTATATGTTGTTTACAAGAGACTCACCTCACAACAAAAGACTCACATAGATTGAAAGTGAAGATATGCAAAAAAATCTTCCAAGCAAACGGAAAAGAAAAAAAAGCTGGAGTAGCAATACTCATATCTGATAAAATAGATTTCAAAATGAAGGCCATAACTAGAGAAAAGGAAGACCACTACATAATATTGCAAGGATCTATCCAACAGGAAGATATAACCTTGATAAACATATATGCACCCAATATAGGAACACCAAAATATATTAAAAA